AACAAAATCAGAAACAATAGAGGCGAAATAACAACAGACCCCACAGAAATACAAATGACTGTTAAAAAATACTATGGACAACTCTACTCCAACAAACTAGACAACCTGGAGGAAATGGACATATTCCTAGAAAAATATAACATTCCAAAACTCAATCAGGAAGCATATAAAAATGTCAACAGTCCAATAACGCTGGAAGAAACTGAAGCAGTCGTCAAAAAGCTTCCAGCAAACAAAAGCCAAGGACCAGATGGCTTCACAGGGGAGTTTTACCAAACATTCAAGGAAGAACTAAAACCTATCCTCCTCAGACTACTACAAAAAATTCAAGAGGAAGGAACACTTCCAAGCTCATTCTATGAAGCCAGCATCACCCTAATACCAAAACCAGGTAAAGACAACACAATGAAAGAGAATTACAGGCCAATATCCCTCATGAACATAGATGCCAAAATCCTCAACAAAATCTTAGCAAATAGGATCCAGTAGTACATCAGAAAGATCATACACCATGGCCAAGTTGCATTTATCCCAGGGATGTAAGGATGGTACAATATCCGCAAATCAATAAACGTGATACATCATATAAACAAATTGAAAGAAAAAAACCACATAGTCATATCAATTGATGCAGAAAAAGCGTTTGACAAAATTCAACACCCATTTTTGATAAAAACTCTCAGCAAGGTGGGAATAGAAGGATCATACCTCAACATAATAAAAGCCATATATGGCAAACCCACAGCCAACATCATACTCACTGGACAAAAACTAACACCATTCCCCCTAAGAATAGGAACAAGACAGGGATGCCCACTCTCACCACTCCCTGTTCAACATAGTACTGGAAGTATTAGCCATTGCAATTAGGCAAGAAGAAGAAATAAAAGGCATCCAAATTGGAAAAGAGGAAGTAAAACTGTCCTTATTTGCAGATGACATGATATTATACATACAAAACCCTAGAGACTCCATCAAAAAGCTACTAGACTTAATACATGAATTTGGCAATGTAGCAGGATACCGCCATCTTGGTTTTCTCCTGAGGCATTTCTATACACCAATAGTGAACTTTCAGAAAGAGAGATTAAATAAACAAACCCATTTACCATCGCACCAAAAAAATTAAGATACCTAGGAATAAACTTAACTAAAGAGGTTAAAGACCTCTACTCAGAAAACTACAGGACACTGAAAAAAGAGACAGAGGAAGACATAAACAGATGGAAGAACATACCATGTTCTTGGATTGATAGAATCAACATCATTAAAATGTCCATATTACCCAAAGCAATCTATAAATTCAACGCATATCCCATTAAAATACCAATGGCATATTTCACAGACCTAGAATGAACTCTCCAAAAATTCATCTGAAATAAAAAAAAGACCCCAAATAGCTGCAGCAATCCTGAGAAAGAACAAAGTAGGTGGGACCTCAATACAAGAAATCAAGCTGTATTACAAGCCACTGTTCTCAAAACTACCTGGTACTGGCACAAGAACAGACATACAGATCAATGGAATAGAATAGAGAGCCCAGAAATCGGCCCAAACCAATATGCTCAATTAATATTTGACAAAGGAGGCAAGAACATACAATGGAGTCAAGATAGTCTCTTCAATAAATGGTGTTGGGAAAATTGGACAGATACATGCAAGAAAATGAAACTAGACCACCAACTTACACCACACACGAAAATAAACTCAAAATCGATAAAGGACTTAAATATACGATGGAAACCATAAAAATGCTAGAAGAATCCAAAGGCAACAAAATCTCAGACATATGCCGAAGCAATTTCTTCACTGATACATCTCCTAGGGCATTGGAAATTAAAGAGAAAATAAACAAATGGACTACATCAAAATAAAAAGCTTCTGCACAGCAAAGAAACCATCAACAAAACAACAAGAAAGCCCACTGCATGGGAGAACATATTTGCCAATGTTATCACCGATAAGGGTTTAATCTCCAACATTTATAGGGAACTCATACAACTTAACAAAAGGAAGATAAACAATCCAATCAAAAAATGGGGAAAGGACATAAATAGACACTTTTCAAAAGAGGACATTCAGAAAGCCAAGAGACGTGAAAACATGCTCAAAGTCACTAATCATCCGAGAGATGCAAATCAAAACAACAAGGTACCATCTCACACCTGTCAGAATGGCTATCATCAACAAATCCACAAAGGACAAGTGCTGGAGAGGATGTGGAGAAAAAGGAACACTCGTGCACTGCTGGTGGGAATGCAGACTGGTGCAGCTACTATGGAAGACAGTATTGAGTTTCCTCAAAACACTAAAAATGGAACTCCCATTTGACCCTGTGATCCCACTTCTAGGAATATATCCCAAGAAACCAGAAACACCAATCAGAAAGGATATGTGCACCCATATGTTCATAGCAGCACAATTCACCATAGCTAAGATCTGGAAACAGCCTAAGTGCCCATCAGTAGATGAATGGATTAGAAAGCTGTGGTACATCTACACAATGGAATACTATGCTGCTGTAAAAAAGAAGGAACTCTTACCACTTGCAACAGCATGGATGGACCTGGAAAGCATTATGCTAAGTGAAATAAGCCAGTCAATGAAGGAAAAATACCACATGATCTCACTCATTTATGGATAATAAAGACCATTATAAACTTATGAACAAAAATAGATACAGAGGCAGAGCTGACTCGAACAGACTGTCAAACTACAGTGGGAAGTCTGGGGAGGGTTGGGGGGCTGAAGGGGGGTGGTAAGTGATCAACCGAAGGACTTATATGCATGCATATAAGCATAACCAATGGACATAAGACACTGGGAGGTAGGGGAGGCCAGGGGATTGTAAGGGACGGGGGAAAAAAGGAGACATATGTAATACTCTTTGTAATACTTTAAGCAATAAAACAATAAAAAATAAAAAAAGAACCAGAGTGGCAGTAAATTCAGGCTGAAGCATTTCCAAAAAGATTTCAGAAGAGCCTGGGAATGTAAAAGCCCGGTGAGATACATTCGCAAACTTGACGCTGCCTGAGGAAGTTGAGCTGAAGAGCATCTCCCAAGGGCAGTGTGGTACCAAAAACAATAACAGGTCACACGTATCTGAAGGCATTGTAGCTTGCCACACATTTCACACATTTGTCTAGGAGACAAGAAGTCTATGAGAAAATCTGTCTTTGTCCATCTGGGCTGCTATTACAAAATAACACAGACTGGGTGGCTTATAAGCAATAGAAATTTATTTTTCACAGATTGGAGGCTTGGAAGTCCAATATCAAGGGGCCAGAAAACTCAGGGTTTGATGAGGGCTCACTGCCTGCATCCTAAATGGCATGTTTTGCTGTCTTCACATGGTGAAGGGACCTCTTTTCTAACAGCACTAATTCCATTTGAGAGCTCAGACCTCATGACTTAATCATCTCCCAGAGGCCCCACCTTCTAATACCCATCACCTTGGTTATTAGATTTCTTACATATGAATCAGGGTGTACACAAAGATTTAATCAGTAGCGTAATCAAGACAGACATTATTAGCCCCAATGGGCACAGGAGGAAACTGAGTCAGAGGCTAGAACTCCAGTCTCCTGATCCAGTGCATTTGCTGGTTCACCTACCCGCCTCTCTAAGTTCTGCTTCAAGTTCCCCTTTGTCCATGAAGCCTTCCTTGACTAACCCAAGCCAAAATTCTCACTAGGCATTCTGAGAAATTCGTTGCACAGCATTACACATGTCTAAGAACAGTGGTTCTCTAACGTTAGCTGAATATCAGCATTACCTGAGGGCTTGTTAACACACAGACGACTGGGCCCCACTCCCAAGGTTTCCCATTCAGTAGTTCTGGTGTGGGGCCCAAAATAACTCATAAGGTCCCAGGTGATGCCGAGGCTGCTGGTCACAAAAACACAATTTGGGAACCATTGGTTCAGAAGCCAGCAGGTTCTTCACCTGCATTCTAGGTTTGACCTGTGAGTCCAGCAGAGAAGAACCAAATCTTCATTTCCTCAAGCAAAGGCTCTCCCAAAGGGCAGCCTCTCTTTTTCTGGATGTTCAGAGCCCTGGGGTGCCTAGAGGCGACTTTCCTGAGAGCCAACCCATCATTTTAACTTGACCTTTTCATTTCTTGGCTCCAGAAAGGTCTGCTGTTCCCCTTAGCTCCCTGTTACCTCCTGTCTAAGAACCAAGAAGACAGCTAGGCCGGCATCACTACACCTCAGGCTTGCCCAGGTATGCTCAGCCCCTTTCGTGCATTGTCTCAATAGCTAGAAGTAAGAGAGGCTGTTTGGAGGGGTCTCTTCATGACTGCCTCTTCCAGTCCAAATAAAATGACTGCCCATTGGTGAGAAAGGTCCCTCCCCAAAGTAGTTTATTTCCATATCATACACATACACTAGGATTTCTCCTCTTTTAATCAAGTTACATAAAAGCTTGAGATACCTCTGTTTCTTTGACCTAACTTTCTTTTTAAAGATGAAATATCCCCTTATAAATTCAAATTCACAATAGAAATTATGTCCTCAAACTGCCAATATGACATTCACAAGCTTTCCCAAAAGATACAAACTGAAAGCCCCCCAAGTTGTTGTTAACTAGCAGAGGTGTATTTGGGGTTCCACACCCTAAATTGTGTAAAAGTTTGAGTCACTATTTTAATATCAGGTACGCTCACATGAAAATCCAGACTGCCGCTTTTCTTGAAAAATGTAGGTCACAGCCAACCCAGGGTCTGACTTCCTTTTTGACAACAAGCAGCTGGACCTGCTTCCCCTGGACAGGACAAGTGCTTTCCAGGTCTCTGCAGACTCCAGCATTTAAACAATGGCCACAGGTGCCCGCGCTTCAGCCCTTCTCTACTTGTCCCTGGTAGGTATCTGAGTTTGCACTTCTGTTCTTAAGAACCACGTGAGCTTCTAAACAGGTAGGATGCTTAAATTCTCTTAAAGTAGCAAAGGAACGTGATGAGAGCTGTCTTGTGATTGTTCTCTGCTTCTTCCAGGCACCTCTTTCATCCTCAATTCCTGGGTGCCGAAGTCCTGGGAACTTGAGATCCTGAGTGCCAGACAGGTGTGGCGAGGACAGTCACAGGATGTCTTGATAAGACCTGTGAGAGAATAGCCAGGGAGACACCATTAAGAAAAGTGGAAGAGGGGATGGAAGGAAGAGGGGATGGGGACAAAGGCTGAGGAAAGGAGATGGAAAAAGAAGACTCACCTGCGCTTCTTAAGCCAGAAGGTTATGCCTCCGCCTACCAGCAGGAGGGATGCCAGTACTGCTGCGACGATCCAGCCCACCGGCACATGACTCCCCTCTGCTTCAGGAACACAGGAGTTTCTCAGCCCTGGGATTCCTCCTTAGCTCAAGCCACCTGGTCTCAGCACATGTGAGGGTGCCAGGTGCTTATTTCCTCTCCCATTTAAAGTTGCCACTTCTGGCCCAGCCAGTGTAGCTCAGTGGTTGAGCATCGACCTATGAACCAGGTCACGGTTCGATTCCCGGTCAGGGCACATGCCTGGGTTTGTTCCGCAGTGTGGGGTGTGCAGGAGGCAGCCAATCAATGATTCTCTCCCATTATTGATGTTTCTATCTCTCTCTCCCTTCCTTTCTGAAATCAATATACATATATATATATGTTTTTTAATAAAAACAATAAAAGTGGCCACTTCTATTCCCCTGAAATTTGGAGGGCCCAGCTTTTCTCAGGGCCTGGGCATCCGTAATCCAGTCCATTTCAGCTTATACAGCACAGCATATAGGGGAGGGCAGTAATTCCTCAGCGAGGCAGTCCTGAGTCTAAGCCCAGCTTTCCTCTTTTGAACAATGTGGCTGTGGGCAGTAACTTGACCTAGCTGAGCCTCAGGTTCTCATCTATAAAGTGAGAATAATACTTGCTTCAGAGGAGAGGTGACTGGATGGCATGCTGTGTGCAGGGTGCTCAGCCCGCGCACGGGAAGCAGCCGGAGAACCACAGCTACCTGTGTACCCTGCCTTCTCCTGCTCCCATCCCCTCTCCTGAGGAATAAGTCTTCCTGGGATTCTTCATGTGCCGCCTACTTCTGAAACTCGGAGGATTTTAGTCTCACTTTTCTTGCATATGGAACGTCCTGCCTCAGTGCCTTTTGAGTTAAGATCTTTATTCCCCTCTGTCCTGTACCCGGATCCCCTCCTTTTTCCTTCCTGGTCAGGGTCTCATCTCTGAAACCCCTCTATCCTGCATCAGTCCACTCCCACCCTTCCTTGTCCCTCCCTCTGTGCTTCAGAACCACATCCCCTCCCTGCGGGGCCCTAGTTCTCACCCCAGTAGAGGACGATGTCCTGGCCTCCGAGGCTGTTGTGCCTCACTCGGCAGGTCAGGCCAGCTGCCTCCCCAGCCGCCACGTCCAGTGTCACTCGGAGAGACCACGTCCCGTCAGCATTGGGCAGGACGTCCCCTTGCTGAGCGCCCGGCTGCTCCTGCTGCCCCCGCATCCACCTCACCCACACAGGCTCTGGGTAGAATCCTGAGACGTGGCACACCAGCAGCAGATGACCAGGGCCAGGAGGGGGGCCACTGGACAGCCAGGCCTCGGGCTTCACTGCATCCAACAAGGGAGTGGGGCCTCTGCATTAGAGGCTCCGGCCCCGTGGCTGACTCAGGCAGCCCACAGTCCCACCGCAGGAAACGAAGGCTCCGGTCACTTCATCCATTTGTGCTAGCATCTCCCTGACCCAGTCTCCTGTAAACGCCCCTGCCTACACTCCTAGAGCGCCCTGTGCTCAGCTTTAACATATCCAAGTTTCACACCCTGCTTTACTGCTTGTCTTCCCATCCTCCCCCTCAAGCAAAGATCCTGTTTGACCCCAGTGCTTATTTAACTGAACTCACAAACCCAAAGGTTGCTCAGTGAATACTATGGAATGAATAATGCCCTCAGGCCTTAGCCATCCCCTCCTGAGCCTTTCTCTTCCAAGGCTCAAAGGAATGGAAACCTAGAATGGGAAACCCAGATGGAGCCCCACAGAGGAGGGATGAGGGGGAGAGGGAGACATGCAGGCTGACCTTTCTTCTCCAGATCCTGCTGTCCTGCTTCAAGGAGGCTCGTCACTAATTGGGGGCAAATGTCATTGAGGAGC